CATAATAGAGGCTCCCAGATGTCTCTGAGACACTTTAAGCTCGTTGTTGTTTCGCAATCGTATACTTTTCAAAAACTAAAATAGATGAACAGGTGGTCATAACAATCTGGCTCGTTTTTACTACAAAACAGTAGTACATTTGGAGGACAGCATGGAAAGTGGAAGGCTGCCTTAACTAATTTTTAAAGGATTTACGGTGAGGATACTACTAAAAATGAAATCTATTTCATCACATTAACAACCTGCTAGAGCTGTAGTTGCGCGAGATAATCATGAGATGTTGACGTAATTGCTTATGTACCGAACAACCTAGACAATGGCCAACTGAACATTTCTCCAGTTATAATGAATGCGTACACGACTACCCAGATTACAAAACTGTCTTAGCACATCACAACAGATTGCCGAGAGTCGCATTGTGGCCAATTTAGCTGAGCTGTCAATACTATAAATGTTCCGAACTCTACGGAATTTCTAAAACAGTTCACCTTATGTTCCTCTGCAGCCGCTTTAAGTTTCGACGGCTCAACTGGATCCACTGCAAAACCTTTTCGATCTTTCTCACTGTACACAAGGTACATATAATTGTCTTCGAGCGCTCCTACTGGGACAACCTTCATGATTTTTTGTGTTATACCACGCACAGCATGCTGCATCCACGGATGAAGAAAAAAGCTGAAGTTACAACGTGAATTGTTGGTAAAAATCACCTTTCAATCAATATTCATGTATGCGACATTTTACAATACGAACCGATATTAATAAACGTTTACTTGAAGTACTGTACAATTTGTTAGAAAAAGCAGTGAGCGAAATGGGAAGCTTTACGAGAAACTATTTACACCATAGGTTACGTGAAATATAGAGATGTAGTAGGAGATCATTTGAGAATCATACGTGTCCATTAGATACAAGAAATAAGATGTCGCTTAGCGTTTGCTCCACATAGAGTTCATCAACTCTAGCACTCATGGGTTTCGCGCCAGGAGGGAGGTATTGCAATTTGGGACCAAAATTACATCGTACAGTAGCATCTGAAACAAGCAGATGTTAACTTGTGAGTGTTGTTCAAAATTTTATAGTATGAAACAAGGATTACTTTTGAAAAGTGAGACAGCCGGATGGTAGAAGCCTTTATAGATGTCTGTGAATGCCACTCCACAAGGTCTACCGTTCTTGTAGAACTCAATCTTAAAAAGTAAGTATAAGTGATGCTAATAATTTTAGGGAAATATTCAAAAAGAACTTACTCGACTCCCGTTCAACGGTGTTAGGGTCTTTAAAACGTCTGCCACCTCATCATGACTTTCATAAAAGTAGTTGTGTTT